AACAAAAACATAATGTAACGGGCCAATTATCTTGTGTAACGGGCCAATTATCTTGTCCGGCCGTGGGGCAGGTCGCACTGCTTCCACAATTACTGCGCTGGGGGTTCGCCTTGGTTAGTCGCCGCCCGTACGGAGCTTCCTCACTCCACTGGCCGACAGAACCCACTCGGTTCTGCGCCGGAACGTCCACTGAGAAGTGTCCGTTCCTATTTATATTTACGTAACACAACCCTTGCTGCACTACTCGCTCCTACTCACCCTCGTGTACTATTCCAAGCACCAGCCTTTCACGCCGCTGCGCTACTTCGTCGCCCGTGCGTTCCCCGCACCGAGCGCCACCCGACTCCTCACACAGGCCTCAGGTGCCTCTCCGCCCCTTGTTACGCCCTCCTCTCGTCGGCGCTGTCCGCGCGGTCGGCACGTGCTCCGCTGGCTGTAGTTCGCTTGCTAGCTGGTCGGCCTCCGCCCCTCCCTGCTCGCTCGCTCTTCCGTTTCGGTGACTCGGACGGCCTTCGTCTGCCGGTCCTCGTTCCCTCTTCCGTCTCCAAAGTGCGTCTTCCGCCACACACGTGTCAGGTCCTGTGCTAATGCCGCAGATCCAAATATGAGCTTCGCCCCACACTGCTCCCCTCCTTTGTTCATTGCAGTGCGGCTGCTGCGCGGTACTTCAACATAGCCCACCCCACTATTCCTCATCATCCATTTCGACTTTCATGAGCCTGGCCACCTAGCCAGCACACTCACGTCGGCCTCTTTCGTCCTTCGTTTCAGCTCCCATGAGCCTGGCCACCTAGCCAGCACACTCACGTCGGCCTCTTCCGTCCTTCGTTTCGGCTCCCATGAGCCTGGCCACCTAGCCAGCACACTCACGTCGGCCTCTTCCGTCCTTCGTTTCGGCTCCCATGAGCCTGGCCACTAGCCAGCACACTCATGTCGGCCTCTTTCGTCCTTCCTACTGGCGTCGTATCCCACTCGTGCTGCCAATCACCTCTTTGACTACTGCACTCACGGTGTGCGAGGCACCCATTGTTCCCGGCTGGCTTCACGACCATGGCCGCCAGCCGGCACGCTCACACATCGTCCACCTCCCTCTCATCATCTATGCAAAACCCGTCGTTCGCATTCCACGTGTACTGCTACTCATCACCTGACTTCGCAGCCATGTGGTCCACTCGACTGCTCGATCCATTACACGCCTTCTTCCACCACAGAGTCTTCCACGACTCTGTCGGCCGCGTACAATTCGTCGTACACTGCTCCGGAGACCCACACGCTCTCAGGGGCTCCTGTGGCACACTCGCTTCACCGCACTGGTCGCAACGCGTACTCGAGAACATAACACCCGGCCTTGTTTTGACGTCGTCTTCTTCGGACCTCCACCATTGCGCCACACGTGACTCGCAATGCCTCGTCACGCTTCATCGTCCTTGCCTTGCGTTTTTCCACTCTTAGTCCCGCTGCTGTTTGCGCAGGCGCCGTCGCTGATCCAGCCGTCGGTCTTGCTGGCTGTACATCTTCACGTGACTCGCCCGAATTTTCATACTCCAGTTGCGCCGCAATGTCTGCCGCCACACGTTTCAGCAAGTCCACCGGATAATAGTAGGTGATTAGGAAAGACAAGTGAGCTATAAATCGCTCGGGTTCCCCGTTCTGATCCTCCCGTTTGACCAAGAAGTTCTCAAACCCTGCGGGTTCAATAATCTTCATCGGCTTCATCCATTGGTGGACAAATTTACTTGCTTTTGGTCCTCGGGGCGGTCGGTACATCCACACCCGATCGCCTGGCTTAAATTCACGCCGGTTCTTCACTTTTCGGTTGTAGTAAGAGGCCTGGTGGCGCTGCTCACGCTCCCGTGCACTCTCCGCTGCCTCGTAACTCTTGCGCATCGCCATAACTAACTGCTTATGATAGACAGACAGCTCTCCCACCTCCGTGACGCCGTTCACACTCAACAACTCGTTTAAACTCCTTAACCGCCTGCCCATCATTAACTCATTTGGTGAAAGCGCCACCGGCGAATGCCTGCCGAAATTGTAGGCGTAGACTGCGAAGGGCACCCACGTAGCCCAGTCATTTTGGGCGTCCGCTTGCATATACGTGGCCACACAATCCTTCCATGTACGATGGAAGCGCTCCACCAAGCCGAGCATCTGAGGCCTATACGGCACCGGATTGATCTGCTCTGCTTGCAGCATTGCTACCAACCTCTCGATCGCAATCCCTGTCAACTCCGGCGCACCATCCGTCAATAATTCCCGAAATACACCAAATTTAAGCACAATCTCCTCCATTAGGAACCTGGCCACATTCTCCGCCGTGTGCCGCTCGACCGCTTTCGCCACCGCATAGCGAGTCA